TGTTCAAGATGACTTCCACACACAGAGCTCCTATCATGTGCCAGGAGCTCGCCCTGTGCCCCTTGCACATGCTCACACCCTCGGAGGGGGCCTATTACCCCCTGCAGCTGTGAAGGCAGCGAGGCTCAGACAGTGAGCCTCCCCACCCACAGCCACCAGCCGAGCCCACAGGCCGGTACTGGAACCTGGTTCCTGACTCCAAAGCCTGCACTCTTTCCATTTCCCCAGCTAAAATTTGAGCTAGGCATTTCAGTTTTGATGCCATAGCAAGATAAGCGGGAATGTGACGGTAATCTCTTTTAGCTACTTTTTTATAAAACTCCCCAGTCTCCTTAATGCGGATCAGGGCCTCACCTCCTGGCCTCCCTCACCAGTCTCACCCCTTCTGCCTCCTGCTGCCCTTTACCTGCCCCCACAACAATGCCTCCTGTACCTTTGGTCGTGATGTTTTCTCTTGTTTCCACCCGAACAGCTCAGCTCAGACTTAGCTCAGGAGTCTCATCTGCCAGGAAACCTCCTCTGGGTCCCCACAGTTCCTTGTCACCTCCCCTTTCACCTTGAAACTATAGCTGGCCTCTGACAGCAACCTGGGTCTGATTCATTTCTGGGTCCCCAGGGCTCAGCACAGGGTCTGGTCAGACAAGTGTTGGTGGGTGTGGCAGGGCAGAGGTGGGCTCTGAGCTGCCCTGCCTTGGGGGTGCCCACAGTGGGGCAGCCCTCGCCTCTGGTCTCAGCTCACAGTGCCCACTGCCTGGAACGCCTGAGTGCTGACCCTGCAGGCCAGACCTAGAGCCTGGCAACCTGCGGCCCCAGCAAATGTGGGGTTGCATCACTTTGGGAAAGGAAGGCCCCCGGGCCCCTGTAGAGTGGTTTCTCCAGACTGGATTCCATGAGGCTCCATTTCCAAAACCACCCAAGCGCCCAGGGCCCTCCAGGGATGGATACTTGATTTCCTTTGACAACAATACCATGGTCTGGGTACAAGATGCACACTTATTTCTTTCAGTCCGCAGGGCAGCCCTGGAGATGGGTAGTCTGACAAACCCCTATTTGTAGAGGAGGAATTTGAGGCTCAAATGCTGCTGAAACTTACCCAAGTCACATCTCCAGCTAAGCGAGGGCTTGCAGATCTGACCCGAGCCCGGCAGGGACAGTGAGGTGACTTGTTAGCTAAGCCCCTCCCCCTGTGGCTGACCCAAACCCTTTCTCTCTGTTCTCCACTGGTTGCCTCAGAACAGCCAGGGAGCAGGTGGTAGTGTTAACAGCCCCATTTTACAGATGAGGACACGGGGGCACAGAGAGCTGCCGGGACTTGCGTGCAGTGAACTGCAGAGCTGAGCTCAAACCCCGGTCTGTGGGGCCTGCTCTGTCTCTAACTTGTGCCCCAGGGAGGGGGAGGGAGTGTGTGAGGTGGGGGAGGGGTGTGCATCAGACTCTCGGGTTTCTTTTCAAACCACACATCCCAGCTGTGCAGAGAACTGGCTGTGAGTACTGTCCCCAGGGGTCCAGTGTTTCGCAGATTTAGGGGGTGAGGCGTGCTGGACCACCCCGCCCTGCTCCTGGGGCCCTGGCCCTCCACCTCACCTTTGTTGAGCCTCTGCTGCGAGTCAGGCCCTGGACGGGAAGGATGAAGCAGGCAGGCCAAGTGGTCTCTGGGCTCAGGCCAAAATGGCCACCCAGTGGAATTTAGGATGGGTGGGATTAGGGTCCTGGGGTGTCTAGGCCGGTGACCTTGTCCTGGGGGTAGCCGGGGTTCTGAGGCAGCTCTTCAACAAAGACCCCTCCGGCTGCCCGCCAGAGCCCCGGGGCCGTCAGCCTCCAGTGAGCTCACTCTTCTCACCTTCCCTCCCCATCTCCTGCTCTTGGCATCACCCAACACCCACCTTCATTTTAGACATGACATCTCTATGAGGAGAAAAGCATTTGTTCCCAACACCTCAGGGATTAGGAGAAGCTGGGTGTGCGCAGCAGCCCCTGCGATGGGATATCTCATCCCCCTCCCATTCCCAGAAGTGACAGCTCCCCAGCTGGGAATCTCAGCAGAGGCCTGGCAGAGCGGCGGGTACCCGAGAGTCATCTCCCGCTACACCTGTCCTGAGTGGGAGAGAGCCCAGCTCAGACCTCAGAGGCCCCGGGCTCCACCGCAGGAGTGGAGAGGAGTAAGAGGTCCTGGTGGGGGCAAAGGAGACATCCGGACTGTGCTGGGCGGCCACTCTGGTCCTGGGTTATTCAAGCCCAAGCTCTTGGCCGTGTCCCCACCCCTCCACGCTGATCCCTGTACTCCCTCTGTCTCCTGCGTTGTTGCCTCTGGTCGATCTCCCTCCTCTCTGACTCCCGTCCAGCAGTACTAAAACTGGCTCAACACTATCTTCAAAAGGAGGAAAGCAAGTCGCTCCTCCTGAGGCTGCAGCCACGTTTCTATCACTCCTCATTCTCTCCTTCACCCTCGGCTCCTGCACCCTGGCCCCCGCCCTCCACACACTGGCCAGGTAGGTCTTGACCTGGTCGTCATACTGGTTAGGATACTGGTCCAGCGACTTTAACTGAGACTGAATGACAGTGGCTTAAACCAGAGGGAAGGTTTACTTCTCTCGTGGGGAAGAGTCTCCAGTTGCAGGCTGTCCTGGGCAATCAGCGGCTCTGCTCCACAGAGTCATCCAGGGATCCAGGTTGCCTGTGTCTCCTTGCTCTGCCATCCCCTAGGGAGTCCTGGCCCTTGTTGCATGGCCGAAGCTGGCTCACCCCACTGAAATGTCATCCCGGCAGGGAAGTGGTATAGGGAGTGGCAGCAAGAGGGCAGGCAGCTTCCTTTGAAGGGTGACCCGGAACTTGCCCGCATCACCTCTGCTCATGTGACCAGAACTTAGTCACATGGCCTCCCTTAACTTCAGGGGAGGCTGGGAATGTAGTCTTCATTTCTGTTCATATCCCATTGGCCAGAACTTAATCACATGGTCTCACCCAGCTGCACAGGATGCTGGAGAATGTAGTCTATTATTTTGCTCAAAGCCCATTGGCTGGAATGGTGTCATGTGACCTCCACTCACCACAATGGAGGCTGGGGAATGTAGTCTCAAGCTAGGAGCCTATGTACAGTGCTAAAACTAAGAGGGAGTGTGTGGTTCTGTTACTATAGGGAAGAAGTGGAGAATGTATCTTGGCGGCCACTTAGCAGATTGGCAGTTTCATTCATTAATCACCTCTTCGTTTAGATCTCAGGAAAGCTCTCTGCTGGAGGGCCAGAAAACTTGAATAACAGTGACTTGAGTCTTAAGGACACTTGCTGTTTACTTAACAAGATGAGTAATGGTTTGGGGACTGAATTGGCAGCTCTTGATGTTTCTGTGATTCTCAAGTCCTTCCCCTCTTGGTTACAAGATGGCTGCCACAGCTCCAGGCATCGTGTTGCCATACATCCACATTTAAGGCAGGAAAGAGGGATAAAGAGGACATTCTTCCTGATTCTCTCTTTTTAAGTGGGAAATCTTCCCCTGAAACCCAAGCAGCCTTAACCCACACATCTTTTTGGCTATAACCATAGTCCTTGCTTACCTCGAGCTTCTAGACAGGCTGAGAAAGCAAACATCTTGCAGAAGGGAGTGAGCTTGCCATGACTGATTTAGACCAATGATAATTCATCACTTGGTCTGGGCATGGTGCCCTCTGAATAAAATGAGGACTCTTTGAGTGGAGAAGGGGCTACTGAGTTGGCAGCCATCAGGCCTGCTCTCCTTGGGCTGCCCTGTCTGGTGAGAGCGTGTGCCCTCCACAGCCTACCTGCCTTCTTTCAGTGTGACACTATTGATCTGTCAAAACTGACTTTAGTGGAGCCATCTTACAGTGTAGTCAGAGTGGCCTTTCTAGAGAAACTGCCTTGCTGTCCTGAACCCTGGACAGGCCAAACCTCTGGACGGGGCCAGAACAGCAATTGTTTATAAGCGGTTGTCTGAGAGTCAGCAGGAGGACGGACATCCTGGTCACAGAGACTGAGGCTGGTGGGCTTTCTGAAGATGGAATCAATAGTCACCAATGTTTAGCCAAGACTAGCTCTGTGCCTCTAACTCCAGTTAACATTCTCTGTGATACAACCTCCCTTCTTTGCCTTTAAAAGTCCCTGACTTTTACTGTCTAGCAGGACACTATTTGGATTTCTACCTGAATCTGTGCTCCCCAAATTGCAATTCTTTGATCCCAAATAAATGGTTTGCCTCTTAAACTGGTTTCTGTTTTTGTAGGCTGACAGACCATTCCCTCCTCCATCCCGGACCCTGCAGGCCCCCGGCTCTTCCCCCTCCCCTCCGGCTGCTCCTTCTTGGTCTCCTCTGCTTCCCGCACCCGCTCTGCCTGCTCCCGCTGGTGTTCTGGAGGGCTCGGGGCCCCACTCCAAGTCCACGCTGCCTGGCTGGTCCTCGCTCACCTCCGCTGTGCGTCAGACCCAAGTCTTCCTCAGGCCCACCCACACCTCCCAGCGGTCACCACTCTTCCTGGCTTATCCTTGCTTATGGATCTGATCATGGCTCTGTTCCAGAACCCTGGGCATCGTCTGAGCTGCAGCCAGTGTCCCCATGCTTGGGGAGTTCATCAGGGAAAGGCAGTTTGACTCCAGACAAGTTCCTCGAGCTCTCTGAGTCTGAGTTCTCTCTCCTTAAAGTGCAGACTGTAGCCCCAACTCTCAGGGTGTTCAGAAGACAGTATTTGGGAAAGGGCTTGGAGAACATTGACCAATGGCTTGTATGAGCCTGGGTTTTCTTCCTCCCTGCGGGCCCCCAGTGATGTCTGGCTCATCGTGGTCGCTCTTAAATCATGAGTAAAATGAACAGTTGGACGATTCTGGGCTAGAGCCCTTTGAATTAGTTATCTATGGCAGCAAGACCCTGCCTGGGTAGAAGGCTCTCTGGTCCCTGGAAGGGCAGGGGGGCCCTGTGTGAGCGAGGATGGGAGGGCCCCACCCGGGAGGGCCCCACCCTGCCGTCACCAGCGAGGCTGTGCTCTCTTTGCAGAAGGACACGGGTTTCTCTATGAAACCTTTGGGATCCGGCCGCAGTTCTCCTGGCAGGTCGACCCATTTGGTGCTTCTGCCGCGACCCCCACCCTATTTGCCCTAGCGGGCTTCGATGCCCACGTCATCTCCCGGATCGACTATGACCTGAAGAGAACCATGCAGAACATGCAGGTGAGTGCCCCACCACGTCCGCTGCCCCAACCTGCCACCACGTCCTTCCCTCTGTGTTCAGGGCCTCTGTACTCTGGAGCACTGGGGAACTCGTGGTGGCTGTGCAGGCCAGTGGACTGTCCCGGCCCCATCCCCTGCTCTTGCTGTTCCCTCCAGCACGAGGGTCCTCTCCTCCTGCGTGTCCGGTCCCTTGCTGAGCTGCACGCCCAGCTTGGGTGCCTCCCGCGGGTATCTGTTGAGTCCCTTTCCCCCTTTGCCTGGGCTGGGGCTGGGGCGGGGCCTTCTTTGGGTCTTCCAAGGGGACTGGAGCAGAACTGCGCTCAGCCACGCGTGGCTGACGCACTAGAGGAAATGGCTGGGGTGTTCAGGTTAGCTGGGACAAGGTAACTCTCCAGGTGTGCGGGCAGTAATTATGGAATTAAACAGTAACAATAAACAACCAATAAACAATAAACAACAATAAACAACCACGGTAGACGCTGCCTTTCCCACATACGAAGTGCCAGGCCTGGTGTGACGCTCATTCTTCACAGCTGTCCTATAAGGTGGGCTGTCCTTTCCTGGGCTGCCATAACAAAGTACCCCAAACTTGGGGGCTTTGAATAGCAGAAATGTCTTGTCTCACAGTTCTGGAGGCCCGAAGTCTGAGATCAATGAGTCGATAGGGCCGTGCTCCTTCTGAAGGCGTCAGAGAAGGGTCTGCTCAGGGCCTCTTTCCGCTCGTGTTCCTCTCCGGCGCACCTTGGGGTGTACGTGGCCACCTTGTCCTGTGTCTTCACACCGTCTTCTTCTGGGTGTGGCTGTGTCCAAATTTCCCTTTTATAAGGATGCCAGTCATTTGGATCAAGGCCCACCATAATGACCTCATTTTAACTCAGTTACCTCTGTAAAGACTTTTTCCAAATAAGGTCACATTCTGAGCTCCTGGGGAAGGACTTTGATGTATCTTTTTGGGGGGCACTAGTCAACCCATAACAGATAGGTAGTGTTATAATGATCCCCATTTTACAGATGGGGAAACTAAGGCCCACAATGTAGGTATTCTGTCCAGGATGGCTTTGGTAATCAAGTTCTGGAGTGCAACGGCAGTCCTGGCCAGCAGGAGTTAGACCAAAGTGGATTTGGGCTCTAGGTGGGCAAGAAGGTAACTTTTTTACTGAGCCCCCACTAAGGGCCACACTGAACACTGAGCACACTTCCCATGTCGCTCATTTCACCTGCAGGTAACTCTGAGAGCTGAGTGTGGTGCTCTCCAGTTTTCATGTGCAGAAACCACGTCACAGAGGAGTCAGGGAACATGTGTGTTGTCCCAGAGCTGGTGCTAATAGGATCAGGATTTTATCCCTGCTTTGTAACCCTGAACATTTTCTAACCATCAGAACGATTAAAACGTAGACTGCATACTTAGTGAGAGGAGGTGAGCTCCCTGTGCCCAGGGGTATTCAAGCAGAGTAAAAAATGAGCTTCTCTTGCAGGCCTTGGCAGAGAGAGTCATGCCCTGAGGAGGAGGTGGGTGAATGAACAGGCAGGCTCCTTCTGGAGGGCAAACTCTACACCGTATGTGGCTTTGGGGGGTCAGAGGAATCTTAAGGAGGACGCAGCAGAGGGGGCAGCCAGAGAAACCCAGGTGGGACCAGGGGAGGTGGAACCAGGGCAGCCCCATCACCCCTTGACCCTCACCCTGTCCCCTCTGGGTTTGCAGCAACTGCAGTTCGTGTGGCAAGGGTCCCCGTCGCTGTCGGCGCAGCAGGAAATCTTCACGCACGTCATGGACCAGTACAGCTACTGCTCGTGAGCACTTGCCTCGGACCAGGCCCTGGTCTCGGCACTTCCCCTGTTCCCTCAGCGACGACCCTCACAGCAGCCCCTAAGGGGGATGCCCTGAGTGCCCCATCTTAAGAGAGAGAAACTGAGGAATGGCCACTCACCCAAGGTCCTGTGGTTAGCAAAAGCGGCAGAGCCAGCGTTTGGCTCAGGTGGCCGGCTCCGTGGCCTCCGCATCATGGGAACAGCCAGCCTGTGGGCTCTATGGAACTGGATGGCACTGGGTTCAAACCCACTCTGCCCCTTTGACCCTGTGAGGCTGTGGGCCCGGTGGTTAGCCCCTCTCTGCATAGGCGAGATTAGCGGGCAGGATGAGGGGCAGCTGGGGAGAAGGACGCCAGACGGGAGAGTCAGTGCCGGGCGTAACCAGTTGTCAGGCTCTGCTCTGTGTCAGGCACTGCTTCTAGCTGTTTGCCATCAATTTAATCCTCTAACAACCTTCAGTACATTTTACTGATCAGGAGACTGAAGTTCAGAGAGGTTCGAAGTGCCGTTCTGTAGGCTGGCCAGGATCCCCCATAAGGCACCCCCTGCTGCCTTAGGGAAAGACCCTAACTGGGGGCTTTCCAGACCTCAAGGCTCATTCCTGGGGTCAGTGCCATGCCACACTGTATCGGGGCTTGAAGCAAAAGGGAAAATCTGTAATACTGCTTCTGTCCTTATTTAAAACTTTGATATTTTGTTCATCTTGAATTTTTTTGCAATAATTTTTATTTTTTAAAATATTGCATTAAAATATCACTAATGTGACTACGAGATTTTTGGCACCCTCTTAAATTTTGTGTCCGAGGCAACTGCCTCCCTTGCCCCACCCCAGACCCAGCTCTGCCTGGGGGCCTGCGACCCATGTCTGATGGACTCAGAGGTGGCCCGAAGGAACGTGTGATCAAATGAATCCTGTCAGACCCCCAGTGACGCATGTGAGGGTGCAGAGGATGTGGCCTCCACGTGATGCTGAAGAAGGGCAGGCCCTCGGGGAGGGCCGTGCCTGAGGTCCCCCGGCTGGTGAACCTTGGCACCTGGAGCTGAGCCACATCTGTCTACATAGCTCTTGTCTGCCCACTGCTGACCTACCCATTGTGTGGATGCGGAGACGGAGGCCCCGAGCCAGGATCTGCAGGCCCTGAGCTGCGCTGTGGCCTCTCTGAGCCCTGCCAGTCCTCCCTCACCCCAGGCTCTTCTTTTCTCAAGGTGGGGCCTCCCTAACCCTCCTCTCTTCTGCAGGTCAGGGTTTTATTGGGATGGTACAGCTGTCTTCCCGGCTCCCCCCCAGGATGGGATGTACCCCAGCATGGATTTTCCTATCACTTCGGGCAACATCAACCGCTACGCCAGGATGCTGGTGGGCAACGTGAAGGAGCGGGCCATCTGGTTCCGGACCCCGCACGTCCTCTGGCCTTGGGTAAGGTGGGGTCCCAGGCCCTGGTGTCCTCGTCACAGCCCAGGGACTGGACTCGAGTCCTGCTCTAACCTGGCTGGTCTCCATCCAGGCAGCTGTCCTCAGCCCAGAGTCAGTGCTCCTTCCCTGCACACCCCGAGGCTTCACCCACTCTACCAGCTCCTTCCTCCGCCCTGGACCCACCCCGAGGCTCTACCGCCTGAAATGCAGCTCCTCACCCATGCCAGCTGCCAGCTTCCACCCAGCTCTCCTCCTTTTCCCGTCAGTGTTGACAGCTGAGGCCTGGGCCGGAAGCCTGGCTCCCTGCTCAGTTGCCTTGTGGCTTAGAACTCTCTGAGCCTCAGTTTCCTCATCTGTAAAATGGGGATAATGACAGGATGATGACTGCTTCATAGGCTTGCTTTGAGGTTAAGTGAGAGGAGGTGGTCCTAGGGGACAGTGCCAGACATGTCATCGTCATCATCAGCAGCAGCAGCAGCATCATTGCTGACCTGTATTGAGCTCCTCCTGTGCCCCAGGCACTGTTCCATGGGATGTGTGTGTCTCATCCATGTAATCTGTCCCGCGGGCCTAGGGGGCAGGCACTACTGGAATCCCATTTTGCAGATGAGGGAACTGAGAACCAGAGAGGTTAAGGAATGATCCTCACACAGCTAGGAAGGGATGGGATGTGTGTTCAGACCTGGTCAGGCAGGCTCCACAGCCTACCTTCTTCTTCTTCTTCTTCTTTTTTTTTTTTTGTGAGGAAGATCAGCCCTGAGCTAACATCCATACCAATCCTCCTCTTTTTGCTGAGGAAAACTGGCCCTGAGCTAACATCCGTGCCCATCTTCCTCCACTCTATGTGGGACGCCGCCACAGCATGACCTGACAAGTGGTGTGTCGGTGCACGCCCGGGATCCGAACTCAGTCTGCCAGCAGCAGAGCGCCTGCACTTAACTGCTACGCCATGGGGCGGGCCGCTCACAGCCTGCCTTCTTAACTCCTGACTGCCTTTTTTTAAAATGACATTTTAGTGTTCTTTTGCTGTTTTTATTTATTATGCCTTTTTTTATATAGGTGCAGATATTAATAAAAAATTTTTAAAAACCAATAAAACTCCATACATTAGGTCAATAGGCCAATTGGTATGACACATTAAATCAAAATATTATAAATATATGCTACTTTTTAAGAAGCTTGGGGCACAACTTAAAATATATGTAGGAGATAAAGAGACAAAATAATGAAATATTTGCGTTCTCAATAGTTCAAAATAGAATGTGATTTTTGCAAAAGGAAAACAGAAACATCTGCCTACAATAACTTGTGTCCAGATCACAAAACCCTGTAAATATCATCCCATGCTGTCCCCCTTCGGATCCAGTATGAAGACTGTCCCAGGGGAGTCCTGTAGTTATAAATGTGGGTTTGCCCCATCAGCATTTTATTCCGGGACTCCTTTTGTGGAGACGGCTGTCAGCACACCTAGAGGTGCCATGAGGCCCAGTCATGCCCTTCCTCCGCTCTGACTCCAGGTCCTTGACTAGGAAGCAGGCAGTCTCTCCGGGGCTGCGTTAGCCCTGTGCTCAGGGGTCTGTGCAGCTGTGACGGTGAAGCACAGCTGTTTATCAGATCATCCATCCTCACCACTTTTTGTTGGGAGCTCATAACTACACTCATTAAGGAAGGTGATGAGAATAGACCTTAGGACTTCACCTCTTTCGCCAGCTGAGAGCTGATAAATCCTGAAGGTCACATCACAGTGGTATCTTGCAGGACGAATCTTGCCTGGGGTCACCTGTCAAAACCTAATGAGAACTCGCATTGTTCCTATCTTGTTTGTCCATGAGAGTCAGATGGAAAATTTCTGTGAACCAGGAATTGCAGGTTTTTAATATACGCACTCAGAGATGGCTGGGCGTTAGGTTGGGGGCCAAGATGTGAGGCACACATGCAATGAATTTGAACAACTTCATCCAGACTCGTGGTTTATCTCAGCCCAAACTTAAGACTTTGCCTCGTCTAGGCCAGACTCCCATCTCTTACATATATTCTCACTATAATTGTATTTCATGTATTACTCTATATGGCAAAATTTCAACAAGGATAATTCAGAATTACTGTGACTATTTCGGGGGAACTGTTTTTTATACAGCAGCTCTCTTTTTTTTTTTTATTGACGTATAATTGACATATAACATTGTATTAATTTCAGGTGTGTAACATAGTGATTCGATATTTGTATGTATTGCGAAATGATCACCGCAATAAGCCTAGTTATCATTCCGTCACTGTACATAGTTAAAAAAACTTTCTCTTGTGTAATGAGAACTTTTAAGCTCTACTCTTTTAGCAACTTTCAAATATGCAGTGCAGTACTATTAACTATAGTCACCACGCTGTCCACGACATCCCAGGACTTATTTATTTTATACCTGGACGTGGTACCTTTTGACTCCCTGTGCCCATTTAGCCCACCCCCCACACCCACCTCTGTAATTCTCTTTTCTTGTGGCATCATTTCCTGTTTTTGTATTAGGGTAAACTGGCCTCGTAAAATGAATTTGGAAGTATTCCCTCCTCTTCTATTTTTGGCAGAGTTTGAGAAGGATTGGTATTAATTCTCCTTTGTGGAGTTCACCTGTGATGCCGTCTGGTCCTGGACTTTTGTTTGTTGGGAGGTTCTTAATCACCAATTTGATCTCTTTACTAGTAATTGGTCTGTTTGGATTTTCTATTTCTTTATGATTCAGTCTTGGTAGGTTGAATGTTTCTTGGAATTAATTGAGTTTTTGACTTTGACTGCCTTTTTGAAGGTGAGCTCAAGGTCAGTAAATTTGGGTCATGGCTATTATCATTGTTGTGAATAATTATCATGTTATTATAGTTAATGATATTGATAAGTAGTAATACTGATGGGCTTTAAGAAATGCCTATGGAGTGAAATAAGTCAGACAGAGAAGGACAAATACTGTATGATCTCACTTATATCTGGAATCTAAAAACACCAAGCTCATAGAAAAAGATATCAGATAGGTGGTTGCCAGAGGTGGGGGTGGGAGATGGGTGAAGGTGGTTGAGAGGTGCAAACTTCTAGTTATAAGATACAGAAGTACTGGGGATGTGATGTACAGCATGGTTAAAGAAAAAAAAGGAATAAAGAAATGCCCAGGGGATTCAGCTATCGGAGCTGTTTGGGGGCTTCACCAGCTGCCGCAGAGAGTGGGAGGGAGGTGGGCAGGGGGCGATGATGAGTCCCCGCTTCCCGGGCTGGGCTCTGCTCCCAGAAGGACGGGGTGTTTTCTGTGCCCGGCCTGCAGGGGTGTGACAAGCAGTTCTTCAACGCCTCGGTGCAGTTCGCCAACATGGACCGCCTGCTGGACTACATCAACAGTCACGCGTTCGGCGTCTCGGTAGAGTACGCCACGCTGGGCGACTACTTCCGTGCCCTGCACGCTCTCAATGTCACCTGGCCTGTCCACGACCACCGCGACTTCCTGCCCTATTCCTCAGGTATGAGTCTCTGGGCATTGGGAGTGGTGATTTGGCGCCAGAGAGGGGGCCCCCTTCAGTGTCTGCTCAGCCTTGCTCTTTGAGCCCACGAGGGGCACTGGGGCAGAGATGGGCCCTGTCCCCACCTACCTGTGCCATCTCGGCATCCTAGCTGCTGCACACAGCCTGGTTGCCCCTGGCTGAACTCTCCCCATGTCCCATACACAGACGGCTCCTGCCTCCAGGCCTTTACACGGCAGTGCTCCCTGCAGGGAGTGGCTTCCTCCCACCTTGTCTTCCTCCCTAAGTCCTACATAGGTTGTAATGTCACCTCCTCCAGGAAGCCTTTCCTGACATTGAGGCTAGGTCGAGTGGCTCCTCAGTGTTCCCAGAGCCCCAGTTTTCCTTCTGTTACTACGTAGTCATTGTCAGGGGACCTTAGCTGCTGATGCCCGTGTCCTCAGGCCGGGACTGTGCTGGCTGCAGACAGCACAGCCCAAGGGTTAGGAGGGCCAGATCTGGAGTGAGCCCACTCCCTGTCTGCGGGCAAGTTGTGGAACTGTCCTTCCTCAATCCAGTGGGGACATTAACGGTGCTTAGTCCATCAAGCTGTAAAAATGAAATGAGGCAAGAAAAGCTCTCAGCCTGGTGCCTGGTCCAGAGGAAGGCTCAGCAGAGGTAGCTGTCAATAATGATGATGTCGTCCCTGGTCCTGCTGTGCCAGGCCCTGCCTTGGACGTGATCCGTGCAGTCCCTGCCGAGGAGGCAGATCCAGGGCCTGCAGGGTGCCATGAGGGGAGCCCAGCACCAGCACCCCTCGCAGGCTGGCCCCCGCCCCGACCCCCATGCTGAGCCCCTTGCTGCTGGGCCCCCTGTGGACCCCGCCTCCACTGTCTACAATCCAGGCAGGAATTAGACCAAGCACAGCATGGCGGTGAGAGCTGGTGGAGGCAGAAAAAGGCCTCCCCACCCACTCCCAGGCCCTGCCTCGGGGCATCAGAGGGGAATGGTGTTGGCTAAACCACTGAACCATCTAACATCTTTGTTGCATAAAATGTCAGAGCCCTTGGAAGGCCCATGTTGTCCTGCTCTGCCTTTGCCAGAAGGAGAAGCCAAGGGGCTGTGGGGGGTCGGGGTGGAAAGGGGCCGGGTCATCATGACAGGACAGCTCAGGGGGCCCGTGAATGCAGTCTCTGCCTCCCAGCCAGCTTTGCCCATGCACGGGCTCATTCCGTCGGAGAGGTCATTTTGGAAGGGAGAGAGGCAATGTGTGTTTATTCCCATCTGACAGGTAGGAAATTGAGGCTCGGAGGGGCATCCCCTGGCTGGACAGTCACCACGAGGCCAGGATGCCTGGAGCTAGGCCTGTCCGTGGCCCGTGCCTTGCCCTCCCGCACTGACCAGCAGCCACAGTGCCTGAGGTGGCCTGGCCCGGTCAGTGGTTCAGATGCACACCCAGGTGGATCACAGCTCCCTCGCACACGGGCTGTGTGGCTTTGGGCGAGTGGTGTCACCTTTCCGAAGGTGCCATCAATGAAGTGGGCTCTCGGGAGGATTGGAGGGACGTCCACACAAAGGCTTGGCAGCAGCCACTGTGCTTCTACCAGTTTCTTCTCTTTCCAAAGAGATGCCACAATGGACCCAGCTGCAGGGCTGGTTCCGGGCTGGGCACTGCCCTGGTTCACCCATGACCCAAGAGGTCTCGCCCCTTAGGGTCGTGGTCTTTCCACTGCGTGGTGACAAGGTGGAGCTACGTAGCTCCCAGGACACTTCAGAGGGGACCACTTTGGTGGCAGCCTGGATCCTGGGGGAGGTGGGAGGAGCTACATCGATGTGGGCGGGGTCGTGTTGAGGGAGGAGGGGATAGTCCATGTGGGTGTGGCTACATCTAGATGGGAGGGTGCTGAGGTGGGCGTGGCTTCATCCAGGCCTCCAGGAGGAGGCACTACTTGTGGAGAGACTGGACAGGTGAGGTGAGCCTTGGGTCCTGCTTGGAGGACGCTGGGGACCTGGGTGGGCTCTAGGCCCGGCTGGTGCCTGGCTTAGAGCTTGGGCCGTGGAGTGCCCCTGCCTGACGTGGACACTCTCAGCGTGGTGGTGGAGCTGTGGGGGACCCAGTCTTTCTGACCCCCGCAGCCTATGGCCTTCCCCCCAGGGCCACATGGCTACCCCTCCTGGTCTGGAGGTCCCTTCCAGGTCCTGTGGGGGAAGAACAGGGAATGGAGGCCGAGCGCAGCCCCCGGAGCAGGCAGGAGGAGGAAACAGTAGGGACCAGTGAGGCATCTTCTGAGACACAGCCACGGCGGGGGGTGCCCTCCCTCCTCCCACCCCTGCCTCGCTCAGGCCTCATCCTCTCTGTCCAGGGTCAAGCCAGCGGCTACTAGAGTCTCTCAGCTCCCATTGCCCCCTCCCGTCCATCCTCCCTGGGCTGCCAGAGGGACCCGGCTGACGTGCAGGCCTGTCCTGGGGCCCCCACTGCCCACAGATTCACACACAAAGGCCTCTGCCAGGGCTCACGGCCCTTCTCATCCGTGTCCTGCCCACCAGGCCCCTTATCTCATTCTCTCCCCTCCCCCAAGGTCTCTCAGGCCCTTTGCTCACAAGGCTGGTCCAGGTTTCCCGGGTTCACCCCCAGGCTCTCTTGTCTCCCATCGCACTCCTTCAGCACCCAGCCCACCCAGGCCTGCCTTCACCCTGCCTGACCCTTCCACTGGCCCCCGCCCCTCCCAGGATGCCCAGGTAGGGCTTGGCCTGGCTGGGGCAGGAGCCCTGGGATCCCCGCTCCCCTGGGCTGCCTCCCTGGTGCCCCAGGCAGACCCAGCCCCTCTCTGGCCCCAGCTTCCTCAGCTCTTCGTGGGCTAGGGCTTGGCTGGCTCCCGGGCAGGAGTCTCACGCCCACTGCCAGCACTTGTCTCCCAGAACTGTTTCAGGCCTGGACTGGCTTCTACACGTCCCGCAGCGGGCTCAAGAGGCTGGCGAGGCAAGCCAGCGCTCTGTTGTACGCCGGGGAGTCCATGTTCACACGCTTCATGTGGCCAGCCCCGCGCCGGCCACTGGACCCGGCCTGGGCCCTGAAGCAACTCTGGAAGCTCCGCTGGGCAGTGTCTGAGGTAATGCCACGCTCTCAGCCACAGTAGCGGGATCGGCACCTCCTGTGCAGTGTGCTTCTCCATCCCTAGGCTAGCAAATCCTCCCAGCCCCTGGTCACTAGGGGTCCACTTTACAGATGAGAACACTGAGGTCACCTTTGATCACAAGGCCCCTGCATGGTGAAGTAGGGCCGAGGCTAGAACCACAGTCTGACAGCATCCGACTGGTGGCTTCAGTAGGCTTAGGGTCAAATTTACCCAGGGAGTAAAGGGCAAAGTGGAGTGGCATTGGTGTCCAACAGTCCCGCCTGGATTCAAATTTCAGCTCAGCTGTGTGGCCTCAGGCACGTGACTTTCCTGCTCTGAGCCCTAATTCCCTCTCTGTACAATGAGAACCACGTGCCCACCCAGGAGGGTGTTGGCACAATTGAACGTGATAATATACATAACCTGCCTGGGCGGGGCTGCCACATAGGAGGTTGTTCATAAATTTCCATCTGCACTTGTTCCCCCTGTATGGATGGGAAAACTGAGACCTGAGAAGTCTTCTAACTTGTCCTCAACACGCAGCCAGGAAAGGGCCCTGGCAGCCGTGACATGTGTACAGCTACCTAAAGGGAAGGGCTGGCAGAACTTGTCACGTGTTGGGGTGAAATGGGTTGACTGTAAAGTCCGTCAGAGTGGCCGGGCCAAGTGGCTTCACCTTGTGGAGCCTCGGTTTCCCTCCTGGGAAGACGAGGTAATCCCGCCCCTACCTCAGGAGAGGTGTAAACGGCTGGTGGGGAGCGTGCCTGGAGCGGACCAGCGGCACTTATGGGAAGACTGGATCGCTCAGGTGCAGCGGGGCAGGCCCCTTCCGGAAGTCTGTCGTCTGCCCAAGGCAGAGGACTCAGGTCGTGGGTTTCCATCAGGTCCGAAAAAGTTGGGCAGGTTCATCAGCCTCTCTGAGCCTCAGTTTCCTCCTCTGTAAAGTGGGAGGACCCCCACCTTCTCCACTAGCAGCAGGGAAGGGACTGAGAGCCAGCGCCCAGAGGGTGCCAGTGCCCAGTAGGTGCTGCACAGAGGCAGGTCCTGATCCCCTTCTCCCCTGCTCCGGTGGGGGCCGCAGGTCCAGCACCACGACGGCATCACCGGGACTGAGGCCCCCACGGTGAGAGACATGTACGTGGAGCACCTGAACGCGGGGATGCGGGGCGTGCACACGCTGATGGCCTCCCTCGTTCTGGACGGGACCCCGGTCCACTCAGGTAAGAGAGGCCCCTGAGGGGCCCTGCGGGTCTGGCAGGGGCTCTGGCCGCTTTCTGAGAGGCTGGGGGGTCTGGGGGGGGGCCTGGACCACCTGTGCTTCAGACTCTGAGGCCACATCCCTCCTGTGCCCTGACCCTCGGCCTGACCGCAGGCAGGTGCCTTCTCTTCCTGAGCGCCCATTTCCTCTCTGTGACCCGAGGAAGGGCTGACATTAGCATTAGAGCGAGTGATAACTGCTGACACGGTTTGGGCGTTTGCTAAGCACTTTTCATGCATATTTGACGTAATGCCTCACAAACTCACCGTAAGCCAGGAGCTGTTATTGTCCTCACTTTATAGCTGAGGACCCAGACAGAAACAGAGAGGTTATGGACTCGCCCGTGGTCACACAGGTAGGAAGGAGCAGAACAGGAATTTGAACGCTTAGCCCTGTGCTGCCCTGCTTTTCAGAGAGGATGCAGGTGTCCTCAGGGACCAAGTCCCAGACTGGCTCCCATCACTCCCTCCTGAGCTCAGCTTGGGTGCAAATCACGTCAGTGCAGCCATGTGGCCGGCCTCTTTGACTGTGAGAGTTTCACATGTATGAAGTGACAATCATACCAGTTTACCTGCAACTGAGAGGGTTTCAAACCCCACAAGTCCTGGGCAAACCAGGCCAGGTCGGTCTCCCTACACATGCTCGAGATCTTACTGTGCACAAGGCCTGCCGCCCTTTCCCCCAGACCCCCACACTCGGCCTGCCCTCTGCCTCTCTGCGCTTCTCACTCTGGCCTCACTGCTCGCCTGCCCTGCTCTTTCCTCCCCCTAGGTCTGTGTGCAATCTTATCCAACCTTCAGACTCTGGAAGGCTCCTGGGGACACGCAGGGACTGGGGTCAGGCGGGAGACATAGCCCAGGAAAGAGAGCAAGAACCTGGGGTCTGACTTCACTGCTAGGTGGGGCAGCCCATTCCCGTGAGCTTACAGGGGCAGCTTCCCCTAGCTAGGGCTAGGTGGAGAAGACCAGGAAGGGCATTCCAGCCGTAGGGAACAGCCTGGTCAGAGGCCGGGGGTCTAGAAATTGTGTGATGTGTTCAGGGATCCAGGAGTCATCAGACGTGGCCAGAGCTTACGGCACATGGGGTGGAGGATGGAATGGAAAGGAATCAGGTCCACACGGCAGGGGCCTCAAATGCCGGGCTAGAGGATTGGACTTGACTCTCCAGGCTCTAGAGAATTCTCTGGTCAATCACAATGCCAAGCATTCAAAGCTTTGGAGCCAGGCCCTAGAAGCTGGGTCACCTTGGGCAGGTGACTCTACTTCTCTGGGCTTCAGTTTCCTCATCAGTAAAGCGGGGCTAACAGAGAGCAGTGTGAGGGGCCTGTGGCACTTCAGCTTCCAGACGGACGCAGTGTGTTCCCTTCCCACCTCCCCTGCCTGGGAACCGGGACGCAACACTGGGCAGAGTGCAGAGCGCACTGCACGGATAAATGTCACCTGTCCCCCTGTCCCTCTCCTCAGACCCTTTGGGAGCTCTGCAGGGCTGGGTCCTGCCTGCCTCAGTTTCCCTTGTATCGAGGGCACCCAGGTGTTTGAGTGAGTCAGATGGCAGCAAGTAAAGCCTGTTCTCTGTGTGCAGGCCCAGAGCCTGGGGGACACTTGGCTGTGGTCTACAATCCCCTGGCCTGGACGGTCACTACCATCGTCACCGTGACTGTGGGCTTCCCCAGTGTCAGCGTCACAGACGAGTCGGGCCACCCAGTGCCTGCACAGGTATGGTGTGAATCCCGCAGGAGGCACATGTGATGTCTGCTGACGCCTGCTCTCCCGGAGGTCGGAGACATGAGAGCGGACATGTGATGACCCGCCCTCCCTACGAGGACATCTGCATGGGGCACCTGTACAGGGGGGTCAGGGGACTGACACTGGGCTTCGGGCATGTGACATGGCCAGAAGTCTCCCCTCGCTGGAGAATCTCGGTGTGGTCTGCACTGCACGGAGGCCTCCCCTCATCCCTGCCTCAGGAATATTGATATATTCTGATGTGAATTTCCCCTTTTGCAAGGGAAAGGCCTTCAAGAATCTTAAAAGTGTCCTTTTTGGAGCTGCTCATGTTGGGGGGCTGGACCCAAGCTGCCTGTCTCTGCAACACCCAGACACCAGCATGAGTGTACTGTCCCTCCTCATCTCCTACAACAGCCTGGAGCCGGCACGGGTTCCAGAAGGCACCCTAACTGTCACCTGGCCCCCCCTTCCTTGGGAAAGCGGAGGAGGTGCTGCCATCAGTCAGTCGTTCAGCAAACACTCCTGAAGGCCCCGGGGCTGAGTGCTGGGTCCCTGGACAGGAGTGTCACTGTGAGGTCAGGGGAGCAGACACCGAGATGGACGCAAGGTGTGGAGTGATGCCTGGGAAGCCAGCGCGGCAGCCCTTAGCTGAGACAGAAGGAGGAGGAGTTCACCTGGCAAAGGGAGGGGTGTTGGTTTGAGTGGACCCAGCACATAAGACCCCTTCCCCATCCAGATGCAGCACCAATTAAGAGTAAATTCACTTCAATATTTCTGGAGTCCCTATTGTGTGTCAGGCCCTGCTCTAGGCGCTGAGGATACCATAATAACCAAACAGACAAAAGTCGCTGCTCTCAGGGGGCTCATATTCTAGTAAGGGGGTGAGGACAGGCAGTAAACAAAATAAGGAAATATAGAATGTGACAGACGATGATAACTATGGTGGAGGAAAATCACCAGAGCAGGATGGGGGGTGGGGTGGGACAAGACGTCTGTATTTCAGATAAAGGCTGAGTGGGAGGGTGTGTGCAGCAATTGTGGGTTTGCTACATGGGCCTCCCCAAAAGGCCTTCCGCGGGGGATCAGAGATTGCGTGCTTTCCTTAGACAGTCAGGGGGCTCCGCTGTGTGTGTCCCGGCTCCTCGCCCAATCCTTTCCCCAAATCAAGTAAAAAGAGATGGGGAAAGGTCAGGAGGGTTCATCTGAAAACATCCTTCCAAGGGGAAGTTGGAGGATTGGAGGACAACGGCACCCCCCTCCCAAGAGAAGGCCCTTCAGGTAGAGGGAACAGCATGAGCAAAGGCTTAGAAGCAGGAAACAGCAGGAGTGTTGGGAAGGAAGGGCACTGCGTGATCTGGCCCCAAAGCAGCGAGGGGGGCAGGGAGGGGGATGAGGCTGGGGCAGGATCCTGTTGAGCAAGGAGGATGAGGGGGCAGGGGGAGCTCAGCACGGTCCAGTGGTGGAAACACCCTACTCCCTCAGTGGGGAGTGAGAACCCCACCCAGGAGGTGTGCGAGCCGAGGATTACTGGGGAAACTGAGGCATCTTCCAGCCCTGAAATCCACCATTTCCTCCTGTCCTGCCGGCCCTGCAGGTCCAGAAGATGCGGTCTGCATACCTCCTGCACGTGCTGACCACAATCCCAGGTCTCAGTTACCGGCGCTACAGCATCAGGCCCACCAAGGGGGCCCAGGAGGACACCCAGAAGACGGCCACCATGGTTAGCGTCTTGAAGTTTGGCCGCAGGCCAAGGACACCCACCGGGGTGGGGGGCAGCCACCTGGTGCCTGTGAAGAATGACTGCTACACTGTGTTCCTGGACCAGGACACCAACCTGATGCACAGCATCTGGGAGAGGTGAGGTACAGCCATTGCTTGTTCTGAGGAGATGGCGTTCCCTGGGGTTTGGGCATGTCATGCCCCCACCTGGGGTCTCTGTCTCCTCACCTGCCCGGGGGAAAACCAGATGGTGGTGAAGGCGCTTCCTGTAATACCATCTTTATATCTAGGAGTGTGAGTCTAGGCCAGTGCGGGAAAGCCTTTCTTGAACTTTTTCACTCCAGGGCTGTTGATCCATAGAAAAAGGGGCATTGAGAGATTCACTTGGGGAAAAATATAATAATCATTTTATCCACTTTTTTAAGTTTAGAGAAACATAAACTCCATCCATCCACTTACCCTCCCACCCGTCTATCCATATACCCACTTCCCATCTATCCATCCATCCACTCACCTTCCCATCCGTCCACTCACCTTCTCATCCATCCATCCAACCACTTACCCTCCCATCCATCCACTCACTCTCTCACCCATCCATCCACCCTCCCATCCACGCATCCATCCATCCATCCATCCATCCATCCATCCTTCCATCCACTCGTCCATCCGTCCATCCACTCATCCATCCGTCCATCCATCCATCCGTCCATCCATCCACTCATCCGTCCATCCATCCACCCATCCATCCATCCATCCATCCATCCATCCATCCATCCATCCACTCATCCATCCATCCACCCTCATCCATCCGTCCATCCGTCCGTCCGTCCGTCCGTCCGTCCACTCATCCATCCGTCCGTCCGTCCATCTGTCCGTCCGTCCATCCATCCATCCATCCATCCATCCATCTGCTAACGCTCCCACTCACCCATCCATCCACTCACCCTCCCACCCATCCATGTACTCACTCACCCACTCCTCCATGCACCTACTTGTCCACATATTTGTGCATCTGTCCATTCATCTCTTCGTGAATTCACTCATTCAGCAGCTACTTGTTGAAGGCAGCAGACGCCCAGGAAAGACCTCCCAGTGGTTCGGGCCAACCTGTTCATCCTCACACCACATCTCTGACAGTTTTGATTCCACCCCAGCTGTCTCTGCCAGAACACCCACTTCCATTTCCTGATGTGACCTCCCAATGTGAGGGAAAGTGTGGGAGAAGCAGGAAGTTTGGTGGGAGTACCTGGCAGAAAGTGAGAGGAAGGAAAGAGAGGGAAGTGGGAGACAGAGGAGGGAGAGGGGGATCATTGGTGTGAGGTGAGTGCCGTCTGGAGCTCAGCCCCAGGTGGCTGTCAGCAGCTCTGCAGGCACCGAGCACTAGGACTTCCCTCCCACGGGGCCCCCGTCAGAAGTTCTGTCCTTCAGTCATTCCACAGATTCTTCTTGAGAGAGCGTGTGGAGGTAGGTGGGGCCGGCAGCAGCCAGCGTGGGTGGTCAGGGAGAGAGACAGGGAGCAGCGGAGATGGGGTGTGGCCCCAGCATGTTCTGAGCCTCCCTGGCCAGGCTGGGAAAGATGGAGTCCACAGGCTGGCTTCGGGGTCCTTCTTTGCTCAGACACCACGCCCCTTCTAGAATACCCCTGCAGGGGACAGCTGCAACTCACAGTCTGTTTCTGCCAGCCCACAGATGCCCCACACCTAAGCCATGTCCACACCCAGGTTTTCCAGTAGTAGAGCCCGTGTCGTGCTGTCCACCTCCTGACCCCTGACTGTCTCTCGGTGAGGAAAGGGATGTTCCTTATTGGGCCCCCTGACGTCCCAGTAGGGGTAAACTGCAAAACCAGCGCCTGACACCTAGTCAGAGGGAGGAGGAGCTATTGGAATTGAGAGCAGTGATGCTCAGAGGAGGCTTGGTGAGGAGGAGACATCTGGAGCCAGGCCTGAGGCCTTGAATGGCCAGAGAGTCCATGGGCACAGCCAAGGGGACAGTTGTTCATAGAAGGAAACTGCCTGTGCAGAGGCCTAAGGTGGGAAGCCACAGCGTGCAGAGACCAACCCCCAGGGCAGGTTTGGTTGAAGGGAGGTTTTTTTTTCTTATATAATAGCTGTATCGATATAATTCACATACCATATAATTTTCCCATTCAAACTGTGCATATCTATGGTTTTTTGTATATTCACAGAGTTGTGCAGGCATCACCACAAACAAGTTTAGAACATTTTAATCACTCCAAAAAGAAGCCTCAGGGCTGGCCCCATGGCCTAGTGGTTAAGATCGGTGTGCTCCGCTTTGGTGGCCCAGGTTTGGTTCCCAGGCATGGACCTACACCACTTGTCGGTGACCATGCTGTGGCAGCAACCCATATACAAAATAGACGAAGACTGGCACAGATGTTAGCTCAGGGAGAATCTTCCTCAGCAAAAAGTAATAAAAAGAAGCCTAGTACTCCCCATTTGCCCCTCCCCAAGGTCCTGGCAACGCTCGTCTCCTCTCTGTCTGGATTTGCCTAATTTGGATGTCTCATACAACGGAAGCATACCACATGTGGGCCTTTGTGGCTGGTGTCTTCACTTAGCATCGGGTTTCTGAGGCCCGTCCAGGCGGCAGCGTGTCTGAGTACCTCACTCCTTTTTATGGCTCAATAACATTCCACTGCATAGATACACCGGGTTTTATTCATCTAGCCTTCAGTTGATAGACATTTGGCTTGTTTCCACTTTTTGGCTATTATGAATAATGCTGCTATGAACACACGTGTACAAGTTTTTGTGTGGGCGTAATTTTTTGTTTTTCTCTGGTTGATTCCTAGGAGTTAAATTACTAGGTCATGGGATAACCCTGCGTTTAACCATTTGAGGAACTGCTGGACCGTTTCCCATTCCCACCAGCAGTGTACATGGGTCCAATTTCTCCACTTCCTCGCCAACATGTCATTTTCTGTCTTTGGAGTCTAGTTATCTTAGTGGATGTGGATTGATTTGCATTTCCCCTCTGACAACTGATGCTGAGCATGTCTTCACGTGCCCTTTGGCCATTTGTATATCTTCTTTGGTGAAATGTGTATTCAGATCCTTTGCCCATTTTAAAAACTGGGTTTTTGTTATTGAGTTATAAGAGTTCTTTATATTTTCTGGAAAAAAGTCCGTTATCAGGTATATGATGTGCAAACCTTCTCCAATTCTGTGGGTTGACTTTTTCCTCCTTTTTTTTTCCTTTTTGTAAATGGTATCTTCTCTCTTTTCCTTACATGTAAGAATTTGCTGTCATCAGTTTGTATGCTGTCTCCATAGAGCTTCTGTTCAAGTGTAAATTGCTTCCCAGTGAAGTGTTGGGCATCCAGGCCCCTTTCAGCTCTTCATCTGTACAGCGGAGACCTGGTTTTCATGGAGTGTTGGAAGAGTCTCAACAGTAGAGATCCCCCAGGAAAGGAGGGAAGGCTGCTTGTTGTCCAGGGGCATCCTGGCAGCTCAAGCCCGGGTAGAATAAGGGCGTGGAGCTCAGAGAGGGAAGAAAGAGAGCCACCTCGGATAATGCTCAGTTTCACTTTCCTTGGGGCCACCCGCACCAAGTTTTCAGTCAGTGACTCATCAAATTCCATTCTCCTAAATGTGACACTCCTTCTCTCTGTCTTAAGAAGTTCAACAAGAATTTTCTGCCAGCAAATATATGTCTGGTCAGCAGAGGTTCTTAAGCATTTTTGAACCATGGACCTCAGATGGCACCTGGTGAAATGGTGGATCCCTTTTTTGAATAATTTTATTAAAGGTATAAAAGAAAATACTTAAGATTAAAGGAAATCTATTATGTTTAAATACAATTTCTCAACATACAATAAAAACAAACGTAATATATACGCTCCTTCAACATATTTAATAATAGGATCTCATTATCTAATTATCATCATAATTTTAAAGTAGTAGTGAATATAAATATTTCGAACTATTTGCAACAACTATAATGTGCTATGAAAATATCTGTGATTTCTTCTGCTGACAGAGCCACAGACTCTGTAACAGCACTGAAATTCGTGGCCCATGCTCATAACGGAAGGAAAGGCTAAATCTGTCATAGGTTTGTGGGAAACCAAGGGTATAATTTTATGCATCCACATTCATGGACCTCCTGAATTCAATCCACAGTCTCCTTGGTGGCCCATGTTCCCAAGATTAAAAATTCTTGCTGCATAGGTTAAGACAAATAGATAAATCAGATTTGTCTTACATGTCAAAGAATGGTTTTAATATATTTCTCATAAGTTATAACAACTGAAAAATTGTCTTTGAAATGATATTTTTACAGGAAAATTGGGACCAGATTTTGTCCTTTTTGCTTTTGATTTTTTTCCATCATAAAGCCAAGTGCTCCCTTGACATGCTTAGCTCAGTTAAATGCATTTAATAACATCCCCGCGTTATTTGAATACTCTAATATTGCTGGGAAAGGGTGTCTATTTATGAAAATAATGTTGTTAGACTAAAAAACTAAATAAAAGGATCTCATGGTCAGAAATAAAACAAATTTCTATGGGAATAGGGCATTTATTTACCTGTTTAATTGAGGTATAACAACATATAACATTATATTAGTTTCAGTACAACGTAATGATTCGATATTTGTATACATTGTGAAATGATCATCACAGTAAGACTAAGTCTAGTTAACATCCATCACCATACATAGTTACAAAATTCTTTTCTTGTGCTGAGAACTTTTAAGATTTACTCTCTCAGCGACTTTCAAATATGCAATACAGTATTATTAACTATAGTCACCATGTTGTACATTACATCCCCATGACTTATTTATTTTATAACTGGAAGTTTGTACCTTTTGACCCCCTTCACCCATTTCGCTCACTCCCCACCCCCTCTCTGGCAACCATCAGTCTGTTTGCTGTATCTATTAGCTCATTTTTTTTTTCTTAAATGATTTCAACTTAAATCATACGGTATTTGTCTTTCTCTGTCTGACATTTCACTTAGCCTAATGCCCTCAATGTCCATCCATGTCGTTGCAAATGGCAGGATGTCCTTTTTTATGGCTGAATAGTATTCCATTGTGTGTGTGTGTGTGTGTGTGTGTGTGTGTGTGTGTATGTACCACATTTTCTTTATCCATTCATCCATCAATGGACATTTAAGTTGTTTCTGTGTCTTGTCTATTGTAATGATGTTGCAGTGAACGTGGCATGCATATATCTTTTCGAATTAGCGTTTTTGTTTTCTTTGGATAAATACCCAGAAATAGAATAGCTGGATCATATAGTAGTTCTATTTTTTAAATTTCTGAGAAACCTCCATACTGTTTTCCACAATGGTTGCACCAATTTACATTCTTACCAACGGTGCACAAGGGTTCCCTTTTCTCCACTTCCTCGCCAACACTTGTTATTTCTTGTCTTTTTGATAATAGTCATTCTAACAGGTGTGAGGTGATATCTCGTTGTCGTTTTGATTTGCATTTCCCTGATGATTAGTGATGTTGAGCATCTTTTCATGAACCTGTTGGCCATCTGTATGTCTTCTTTGGAAAAATATCTTTTCATTTCCTCTACCCATTTTTTAACCAGATTGTTTGGTTTCTTTTGCTATTGAATTGTATGAGTTCTTTATATATTTTGGATGTTAACCCCTTATCAGATATGATTTGCAAATATTTTCTCCCATTTGGTAGAGTGCCTTTTCATCTTGTTGATGGTTTCTTTTGCTGTGCAGAAACTTTTTAGTTTGATGTAGTCCCACTTGTTTATTTTTGCTTTTGGTTTCAAATCCAAAAAATCGTTGCCAAGGCCGATGTCAAGGAGCTTACCGCCTATGTTTTCTTCAAGGAGTTTTATGGTTTCAGGTCTTACTTTCAACCCGTTTTTCAACCCATTTTTAGTTAATTTTTGTGTATGGTGTGAGACAGAGGTCCAATTTCATTCTTTTGCCTGTGTCTTGTCCAGTTTTCCCAACACCATTTATTGAAGAGACTGTCCTTTCTCTGTTGTATATTCTTGGCTCTTTTGTCATAAATTAGTTGACCATATATGTGTGGGTTTATTTATGGGCTCTGCATTCTGTTCCATTCACCTATGTATCTGTTTTTATGCCAATATCATACTGTTTTGATTACTACAGCTTTGAATATAGTTTGAAATCAGGGAACGTGATGCCTCCAGCTTTGTTCTTCCTTCTCAAGAGTGCTGTGGCTATTTGGGGGTCTTTTGTGGTTCAATACAAATTTTAGGATTTTTTGTTGACTTTTTCCTTTCTTTATGACACTGAGGGGAGCTCTGAAAGGAAGCCAGGGGCGGGGAGCCTGGGGCCTGATGGGAAAGGCCTTGGGTGCTAGACTAATGAAAAGGATTCTTTTCTCTCCTTTCCAAAGGAGCCCAGTGGGACCCTTCTCCGGTGGTCCTTTTCCTTTCCAGTCTCCCCAAAATCCCACAGAAATCCCCCAAATGGGTGGGGAAGCATTACTTCTTCATCTTCTGTATCCAGGCAGGGCCATGCCAGAATACAAATATATCCCTGGGTGTTTGTTTAGAGCACACACAGATTTACAATCAAAACATGTCTACAAGGCTCTGAGCTGCTCCCCACTCTTCCCGCATCCTCTTCCGAACCCGAGGATGCTAACATGGCGGAGTGAGCACAGAAGGTGGCGTTGGGACTGAATCTGAGTCCTGGCGTGCACATGTCCTAGATGTGTGGACATGGGCAAGTGACATCCCCTCGGCCAGCCTGTGTGCCTCAGTCGTGAACGGGTTAAGAGTCCCTGCCCAAGCGGGTCGGGAGGACTTGACTGGGTGAAGCGAGTGAAGGCCCTGGCGCATGCCATCCGGTAGCTCGGAGTCAGTGTGACAAAAATCCACCCTTGTACTGGTTTGGGGGCTGCTGAGAGAAGAAGGGTAGGCCCCTGCTGGCCGCCGGGGTGAGCGGCGCCAGCTCCGTGGGGAGTTTCCTTGGTGGCGGCACGAGCGCCTTCTGCTTAAGCTCTCGGGCCGCGTTCCCCTCCTCCCTTGTCCACTCAGGGACATGGAAGGAGTCTAAGGCCACGTTGGCTCTGGGGGTGGGGTGGTCTAAAGGGCTTTTATCTGAACCCGGTGCATGAGCCTCATCTAGTGGCCTCGTGACTGTCACTTGGGCCCGCAGAGGTCGTTTTTCTTCACTCCTGGCTCGCAGCTGGTGTCTGCATAGAGGGGTTGTTAGCCTGGCTCCAGATCATGAGGACAATGCCCAGAGACATTGTCCATGATGGTAGCACTGTTTTCTCTTTCCCGCCTCTGCAGGCAGAGTAACCGAACCGTGTACATGACCCAGGAGTTCATGGAGTACCGCGTCAACATTGACTCCGATGAGGCCAGCTTCTCTGATAACTACCTGTTTACGCCCAAAGAGGCCGCGGTGCCGTCGTGGGAAGCCGTGAGAATGGACATCGTGGTGGGGAAGCTCATGACCGAGATCCGGCAGTACTTCTACAGGTGCGGTGGGGACCCCCTGGGCTGTGCCCAGCGCACGTAGGTGCACGCTGGCGGGGAGAGAAGGGAATGAGGGTCCGTCACTGCTCCAGACACCCAGCCCCTGGACCTGTGCTCGGCACAGGGTCGTTGGTTGGTGAAGACGTGTATTGCTCCAGTGTCTGCGCATCCTGGCTCCGTCTGCAAGTGCTGTATCACAGCGGGTAGTTTCTAAGCTCAGAGCTGGGACCGGGGCCCACAGTGGCAGTGACTTACCCACGAGAGGAGTCCTTACGTTAGCAGTAACAGACTCCAGCCCTCCAGGCCTGGCCAGGCAGCCAGGGGGAACGGGGCTCTCCCATCATATTGCCTAGGACGGCTCCCTGCACGCTGGCCTGCAGGAAAGAGGGAGGGAGGGAGTGACACGAGGCAGGGAAGGAGAAGGGAGGGGCATCCAGAAAGCTCCCAGAGTTTGACTTGCCGATCCTGCTTCCTCAGGACAGCGAAGGCCAAGCATCACTCATCCACCATCTACTCCCGGCTCGCCCACGTGCCGCGGGGCCATGACGGGGAGCTGCTCTGCCATCGCATAGAGCAGGAGTACCGGGTGGGCCCTTTGCAGATGAACCACGAGGCCATCCTGAGGACCAGCACCAATCTAAACAGCCACCAGGTCCTCTACTCGGACAACAACGGCTACCAGATGCAGCGGAGGACCTACCTGCAGTATGCCAACAACAGAATCGCTCGGGTATGCCCTGTGATGCGCCGGGGGAAAGCGCCCGCAGATGCAGCCCTGATGGCATTTTTCCAGAAGGCCAGAGCACCTGTTTGAGCACCAACTCGTAGCAGCAGAGGCCTCTGGAGAGAGTTCTTTCGGAGCCCCTTGCCCACGCGTGTGCCGTGTGGGGACAGAGGCACGGGCTCAGGTCAGACCTGGCGTCTGAACTCTGGTGCCACCACGTGCTGAGGAAAGTCCCTAAGGTATCCCGTCTGTACCTCAGTTTCCTCTTCTGTGAGATAAGTGGGTCCTCAGAGGTTCGTTCTGAGGGTTCATGAGCTGACGTCTGTCCAAGGCTGAGCGGGGCCTGACCCGCCTCAGCTGCTCCTAGCCGAGAACGCTGCCCGGCGGCTTGGCAAACGGTGAGCGTGGCCTGAAGTCAGATGTCAGGTTCCGCTCCCAGGTCCTTTGCCTCTGCGCCACGCGTGACCGTGGGCAGGTGCGTGGCTTCGCTGTGCCTCGGTGCTCTCCTGGGAAAAGGCAGTGGCCTCCTCCCTCCCAGAGCTGAGAGGGTCGGCTGGGATAATCCGGGGGGAGCGCGGCCCTGGGCACCTGGTATGCCCTCTATGATTGTTAGTTCTTCTTCCTTCCATGGGGGCCCCGGAAGGGGGTGTCCCCACCCTGCTCTGCTTTCGATGAGTTTCTGTTCCTTTCATCCCTCTTTTCTAGTTGTCACCTGCTGTGGCTGGGTCCCCTGATAGTCCACGTCCATCGGCCCAGGATGTCTTGCTCCAACAGAGCAAAGAGCGTGGCCGTGTGCCTCCTATTCCCACCCAGACCCGAGTCCTTTCTCTATCTAGCACCCCTCGGCCGAGGGCCTGTATCAGGCTGGACTGGCACACGCTCCTCCCTTCCCTCCCTGCCGGAGATGTGCGGAGTGGGTCTTTGGGCCCCATTTTACAGATGGGGAAACCGAGGCTTGGGCAGGCTAAGTCCCCCAGCTCATATGGTCAGGAAGCAGTGGAGCTGGATTTGCATCCCAGTCTGTGGGTCCCCAGAGTCAGAGCCCCCACCCCGCGCCGCCCCATGCTGCCCCACGCTGTCCTGCACTGTGGCTGGGCCTGTGCAGGAGGCTGGCTGGGGTGGCCAGACGGTGATCCCTGACCAGGTGGCCTCCCTCGCCCTTTCCCCCCCGCCAGCCTGACAATGTTTGTGTCCACAGAATTACTACCCCATGGTTCAGTCGGCCTTCATCAAGGACAACAGGAGCAGGCTTGTGCTGCTGTCGGAGCAGGCCCACGGCGTCTCCAGCCAAGGGAACGGGCAGGTGGAGGTAGGAGGCCCCTCAGGGCCACCCGCGGGCACGCCCCGTGCAAGGCGGGGCCCGTCAGACGCTCTGCCCTGCAGGTCATGCTCCATCGGCGGCTGTGGAGCAACAACATGTGGGCCCTGAGCAACAACCTCACGCTGGACGACACCTCGACCGTCTCCCCAGTGCTCTGGCTCCTGCTGGGACCCTGGCCCGCCATCGCTGGCCTGCACCAGAGGAGCGGGCTGGCGCTGCAGCACAGGCCCCTGGTGCTGTTGGGAAAGCTGACCGGTAAGGGGTGTCCTTTCAAAGCACATATCATCACCGCCCCAGAACCAGCTGACCTGGCCAGAGCAAACCTGGGGAGGGACTTGTGCCCTCAGGGATCTGGGCGACTTTTGGGCAGGAAGGGGCCTCAGGGACCTCTGTTCCAAGCCCCTCACTTAATCTATGGGCAAACTGAGGTGCAAGGTTCAATGCTCGCTCGTGGTCATACAGCTGGGAAGTGCAGAGCTGGGACTCACCCACATCACCTTACACCTTTTCCCTGAGTGTCTTCCATTTTCTTCTCTGATGTGTCTTTTTCTTTCTTAACACAACATATATCACCATGTTACTTCTGGTCATGGGCTCAGCATTTAAAAGACTAGCTTTACCTGAATCCAGGTATGCTGTCACCAGGTGAGGGTGATTCCAGTCCATGGTCTGATCTACAAAGCTTATGCAATGCCTCCACTCATACTTCTGTAGAGTGCTTCAGTTCTAGGGCCAGAACTTTCCCAAGGCATTAGCAAGCAGGTGGGCTCTTGCTCGCTCATGCAGCAAACATTTGTTGAGTGCCTGCTGTGTGCTGCATGCTGCAGATGTGTGATGCCCAGCCCCTCTCCTGAAGGACTTCTCGGGGGTTGTCCACTGGGAGCTGTGATCATACAGCTCCAGGATTCAGGGTGGAGAGCTCCGGAGTGGTGCTGAGGAGAGGGCGTGGTGCTCTGTGGATTCGGGAGAGTGTGAGACCGCCAGCTGGGAGAAGATCAGGGATCAACTTTGAGGATGTCAGTTGAGGCCTCTGGTTTGGAAGTCCCAGAAACCGAAGGGTCAGCTAGTTGGGCAGAGCCTGGGGAAACTCGTGGGATCGAGGGAGGAGCTGGACAAGAGGCCTGGGTGGGTGGGAGGCAGGGCAGCCCTGGGCCTCTCAGGAGCACATGCTCATGGCTGTCTCACCCGAGACTGCCTTTGAGCTGCCTACCCAGCCACCTCCTGGTCCCAGGCTTCAGATTCCCGGGAGAGGGGGTCTGATTGGCCCAGCAGGGTCGGGGGCTGCTCCTGGGTCAGTCATGGTTCCTTCCTGGCAGTGGGAGCCTTTCCTGAAGAGGGGGATGCTGCTGTGTCTGAGAAAGCTCCGTGGCTGTTGTCAGCTCCAACCTTCTGGCCCCACTCTGGCCTCTGTTGGTTGCAAGAGACAGAAACCCCCTGTGAGGCAGCTGATCCACCAGGAAACTTTATTCTGAGGCCCTCACAACTGAGGGAGGGCAGGGGGATAACTGCGCCTCGGGGCTGGAACCTTCACGAGGCTGCCCCTCTCCTTCCGTCATTCATCTGTTCTTCTCTCTGTCTGCAGACCTTCCTTCTCCTCCTAACTGGGACATGGCTGTGACCAGCTCTGGGGCTCTATATCTCCCCCACCCAGAAGGAATTGAGACTCAAACTTTCTGGTCTCAAGTGCAGAAGTCCCAGGGAAAGATTCTGATTGGTCTTGATTGGATCATGTGACCTGATCCTGGCCCAGTCCCTGTGGCCTGGGGTATTGCAGGGACATGGCAGCTACAGCTAGAAGCCCAGAGTTGAACAGCGCATTTCCTGGAAGGAGGAAGGTGGGGAGGGGGCTGAGGTGCCTTCTGAGCAGAGAGACTGCGAGATGAGAAAACAAGGGAGGAGCTGGCATCCCAGACCTTGAATAGAAAACAGGGCTCTGCTTGAACTTGCCGTGTGATCTGGAACGAATGTCCCCTCTCTGGGCCTTTGTCTCCCTACCTGCAGTTTGAAATTGCTGGACTAGAGATGCAAGGTCCTTCCAGCTCTCAGACTCTGTGATCTGAGCAGCTGGACATGTGGGAGGAAGGGCATTCAGGTGGAAGGGACTGCGTGGGTAAAGCCAGGAGGAGGATCCTGGGGGTTTGGACCAGCAGATGCTTCAGGCAGACTACAGTGTGTCTACATGCAGGGAGGGTGGGAGATGGGCTGGAATGGGGGACACAGTGTGGAGAGCTCTGGATGCCAGGAGGAGGAGTTTGGCCCCAAACCCTCCCCTTGCTCCATCCGTCTGCCTTGCAGAGACTGCCTGGAATCGCCCAGGCCCCTGGCAGCAAGAGGCTGTGACGCTGCCCCTCAGTCTTCACCTGCAGATCCTGAGCATCCCCGGCTGGAACTACAGCTCGAACCATGCAGAGCACCTGCAGAATCTCCAGAAAGGTGAGGAGGCGGCCAGGGGTCCAGACTCCATCCTCCCTCCCTACGTCAACAGGCCCCAGAGCCCATCGCCAGACGAAAGGGGCTCTCCTCAGAGTGTCGTGGCTCTGAGGTCACCTGGTCCTCTTATCTGCCAAATGGGGAGAATGAGGCCCACATTCAGGTCAGTCAGGGTCATTCAGCAAGCCAGGGACAAGGTGGGCCTGGACCCCAGCCCAGAACCTGCCCACACCATTCTCTGATGGATCCCTTCTAACCCCTACCTCAACCCCAGACCATTGTCTACATTGTGACCCCTTCAGGCTGCACTCGGGTTGTGCTTCGTCCAGGGACTCCTCTTGGAGCCCCCAACACCTGAGTTCCCCAACGTCCTCCGAGCTCAGGCAGCCTGACTGTCTGGAGCTTCTGTTCATTCATGAACAAGTGTCTCTTGCAGCAAGTACTGGGAAAGGAGCAGTGACCAAGGCAGGCAAGGTCCCTGGGCTCACGGAGCTCTCGGTCTAGAGGAGGAACCAGCCAAGTCACCAGACAGTGATGACAGTGATCAGAGGCAAGCCCCCAGCAGGGCATCAGGGAGGACTTCCCGGAGGAGGCAACACCTTGCAGGAACCATCTCATCCTGTTGCCAAAGTTCTAGCTGCTCCCTGTCTGTCCTTTTATACTGTGAGTGGCTCAAAGACAGGGTTGACTGAGCCTTAGCCACCCTCATGTCCCCAGAGCCCCTCCCAGGGCCTAGCATCCCCCTAAGGATGGCTCAGTAAGAATCTGCAGAATCAGGAAAGAGGAAAAGGAAGAGGCAACATGCCAAATGACACCTTTGTCCCTGATAAAGTGGATCTTGGAGACTGTGGATCATTCTGCAGCTAAGTGGCTTCCTGACACTGAAGCCCAGCATCACGACCCCCGCCATCACAGAAGACGCTGGGTGGGGAGGCCTTCCTGCGGCAAAGCCTTCCCTTCCCCCCTTGTGTGTGCGGCCAAGCAGCACTGAGAACGCGCTTCCTGTAGGCAGCTTGTTCCCAGACAGGAGGAGAAGGGGGCTGAGCTGAGCACGCCTCAGACCTGCTGAGGGGAAAGTCCCTCCCCCTGGAGGGGAGTGGGTGAGAGACAGGTGACGGGATCATCAGGGGATGGTGCAAGGGTCCCCCCTGCTTCCCCAGATACTACAGCCACCTTATGAAGTAAGTTTCTTCATCGTGATCATCATCCTCTTCATCACCATCGCCCATCATCATCATCATCATCATCATCATCATCTTTATCACCATCATCATCACCATCATCTTCTTCATCACCATCATCATCGTCATCATCATCACCATCACCATCATCATCATCATCACATCACATCATCATCATCACCATCATCATCATCATCACATCATCATCATCATCATCATCACATCACCATCATCATCATCATCTTTATCACCATCATCACCATCATCATCACTTCATCATCATCACCACCATCATCATCACCATCATCATCATCACATCACATCATCATCACCATCATCATCATCACATCACATCATCATCACCATCATCATCATCACATCACATCATCATATCACCATCATCACCATCATCATCACATCACATCATCAT